TAGACTTTTACAAGCATTGTGTATTATTAATGAAGAAATTCATTTCCATTATAAAATTTTAAAAACTGATGGTGGGCACAAATTGAAAATACCATGACAGGTGGTAAAGGTGACACTGGTATGTCCAAAATGGAGATGGAAGAACAATGACACCATCATATTAAAACTGTTTCTAATTAACACAAAATAATGTACATAAGCTCATCAATCTTAACACAATATTAAGGAAAAACAAATTCAGACACTAATTTGATAAATAGTGAAACTAGGACAGAAAACTAGATTCCATCAATATGTCTTTTATATCTGTACTAAATTCTACTCCGAAATTAATCAAAAGGCTTAAAGTCCCTGCCAAAATTATGGTTGAAAATTTATAACCAAAAAAACTATTCTATGCATTTTTTTGTTTGACCAACGTCTGTGAACTGAAAAGAAAAAAAAAAAGTGTGAAAGCAAAAGTGTAGGTGTCAGCTGCCCTGAAAAGTCCAAAAGAAACTAAGCAGCAAGACCATCGTCGAGGGAATACCTGACGATACAGATGGCCTGGTTGTGAATTCACTGCAGATTCCTTCTCCAACTCCTCTAAACTGATCCCGTCACAGCTCAGTCCTGTACCCGGTTCCTAGAGCAATAAAGAATAAACTAAGGAGTAAACAAACAGCCTCAGTCCATGACCTCCAGGACCTGTTGGCTAGTTTAGAACACCTGTCTCCTAAGTCACCTGGTGGCCAACCAGACTCAGGACTTCCTTCCTCCAAAGATAATCCCTGTTGGACTATGATGACTGTGAGTCCTCTCTTTCCACCCCACGTTGGACAACTGTGCTTTTGCTATGATCTCTTCCCAAACCTAATAATAACATAGCCCTGCTATCCTACCTTGCTTGTGCCAAACAATAGACCAGGACTATGATCAAAGTTTGTGACCAGAGATCTACCATCAACACATTCTCCCCAAGTTCCCCTGGGTCAGTGGTTCTCAACCTTCCTAATGCTGGGATGTATTTTCACTGTTACAAAGCGGTCGCGACCCACAGGTTGAGAACCGCTGCAGATCATACTTCTGGGTATGAAGTAGGGAGCATTATACTTTAACAAGGAAGGAGTCAGTAGTTAGGCTTTACGTGAAAGCTGTGTTACTGGATCTTTAGCCACAGACCATGTGCCTCCTCCAGCCTTAGCAATGATATTAAAGGAGAGGAATAACTAGTTTAATAACCAAATAAACCCTTTTACAAATACTCATTTTACATTCCTTCCTAAGTTCATTATGAAGAAATTCATTTTTTCTTTATATTTGATACTATCCCAATTCTTAGTTTTTTTAATGTTATTTGAAACCCCTAAAATTTATGTTAATAATTTAGAATGCACATGGTTTTCACTTTAAAAAAATGAAGTTTTCCAGAGCCATCTGATACTTAAGACACAATAAAATGCAGCACTTTTAACATTTTTTAAGACAGAGTCTCACCCTATTGCCCTGGGTAAGTGCCGTGGCATCATAGTTCATAGTAACCTCAAACTCTTGGGCTCTAGCAATCCTCATGCCTCAGCCTCCAGAGTAGCTAGAACTACAGGTGCCCACCACAACGCCTGGTTAGTTTTTCTATATTTAGTACAGATAGGGTCTGACTCTTGCTTAGGCTAGTCTCGAACTCCTCAGCTCAAGCAATCCACCCACCTTGGCCTCCCACAGTAACAGGTGTGAGCCACCATGCTAAGCCAACATTTATTTTTTCTACAGCAAATTTTTAACTTATATAGTATACAAATGGTTAAAAAAATGGAATACTGAAATAATCTAGGCAAGACTTTCAAAAAATTACTGATTTCCTAAAATTTACTCACTCTGACCAATGGTGAGAAATTGTGACTTATCCAAAAACAGAATTCCAGGCAACCATTATAAACCATGTTATAGGCAAACATTTCATTGATTCTGTAATTAATTACTGAAAAATACATAATATTTTCAGGATATATTAGATTAAAATAAATCATTTAGATAGTTCAGCTTATTGAAGTGGGGGGAGAAAAAAGTATTAAAAAATAAACAATTTATCAAATACATACAGTTTAGTCTCAAATAGTCCATATATACCACATATATACATGTATGGAGATATTGTGCAAAGAAAAACAACAGAGTGACCAAAATATTAATTGATCATGTCTAGGAGATAATAGTTTTTGTTCTTTTTGTGTGATTCACTAATTTTTCCCATCATAAACATGAATTTTTTCATTTATGAAAATAATTACTTAAGATCTTTATAATTCCATTTTCTACAAAAGAATTGATGCCACATCAGACTCAAACTTGAAAAGTATGGCGTGTTAATATTGCCTGCCAGGCATTTTCCACTTATTTCTCCAGAGAAGTTTTCCCTCCTCACCCACTACTGCCCAAACAGCTATCAAGTGCCGTATTCGACTTCTGCACGTCCCACACTCTGTTTGGACACCTGCAACTGTTGTCAACCCAGCTATAATTCTCAAGATCTGCTGATGCAAGCAAACTTTTATCTCCTCCACCCACTTTCCCCAAGTTCCTTATAAACTTGTTAAGATTCCAAAGCAGTCCCCAGAAAATACTCCCTACAATTCAGAAGATTTAAGGAATTAACACTAAACTATAAGAATAAAATTTACTCCTAATAATGTGACCGTACCATCAATGAATATTATTTGGCATTAAAAAGAAATGAGATACTGATATGCACCATATGGCTGAACCTTAAAAACATGCTGAGTAAAAGAAGATAGTCACAAAAGACCACAAATTACATGATTCCACTTACATGAAACACACTGAATAATCAAATTTATAGGGATAGATTTGTTTTTGCTTAGGGTTGGGAGGAAAGGCAGTGAGTGACAAGAGAATAAAGGGAATTGACTGCTCCTAGATACAAGGTTTCTTTTATGGGGGCAAATATATTCTAAAACTAGATTGTGACATTTGTTGCTATAGTTTATCTCTGTCCCCTTCAAAACTCATGTTGAAATTTATCCCCTATGTGCAGTATTGAAAGCAGGGCCTTTAAGAAGTGATTACATCATGAAGGCTCTGCCATCAGGAATAAATTAGTCTATTCATGTATGAATGGGCTGATGGGTCTATAGATTAGTGGATTAATTAATTACCATGAAAGTGGGACTAGTAGGTTGGTAAGAAGATAAAGAAAAAACTGAACCTGTTAGCACTGGCCATGAGATACCCTTGGGTGCCTCAGGACTCTTCAGGTAGTCCCCCCTAGATGCAGATGTCTCCCACCAGATGCAGCCCCTCACCCTGGCACCTCTCAGCTTCCATAATGCTATGAAATAAACCCATTTTCTTTATATTGATAAATTTTCCAGTTTCAGATATTCTGTTATAAGCAACAGAAAGTGGACTGATAGTTGCACAATTCTATAAAATTGAATTGTACACTTTAGATAGGTAAACTCTATGATCTATGAATTGTTTCAATAAACCTGCTTTTGAAAATACTATTTTAATTTTTTATTACAGCTGCCATTGATGGAACAGTTACTATGTGCAAGAAACCTTAGAATCTCTTTCTCATTTGGTAATTACCAACTTTGCAAGGTCAATTTTTAATCTTACAGACGGTCAAATAAGTTCAGTAAATTTTGTACACAAAGTTACAGTGCTATTCCATAAGGACACCCATGTCTACCACTAAAGAAATGCCTCGATAAAGCTCATGTGTTCTTAACTCTGCCATCTTGGCATTAACCAAGTTGGCTAAAAATTATAGGAGTATCCCTGAACATATAAATGCCCTTGGAAATGCAGACATTTTGTCTTTATCAATGGGAGACATAAGTTTTTTGAGGCATTACCAAGAGTAATAAAGGTTTAAAAGGTTGAGCATAATTATGTTATTTCATTCAAATCCACAACCAGAAAACAAATGCTTCCAGAAAATAACTGAAAGCAATTAAGGTCATATTTGTTTCTTCTCTTTCAGATTATATCAGAGCTAGATTGTATCTTTAAGATACAGATTTCTGACTAGTCATTTTTAAGTCAATACCTTTAGAAATTCCTCATTAATTATATTGGATAAAATGCCAACAAAATATAAATACACAGAAATGATCACCGTTTCTTTAAACTACATTCATTAGGCAAAAACATTCCTTTATTTAGATTTTATTATTTACATTTAGTTTTTTGTTTGTTTGTTTTTGCAGTTTTTGGCTGGGGCCAGGTTTGAACCTGCCACCTCCAGCATATGGGGCCAGCACTGTACTCCTTTGAGCCACAAGTGCCACCCTACATTCAGTTTTTTCTGGGCACATTTAAAGGACTTTATAAACACTAACTTATTAGCAATACCAGAAAAGTAGGTAGATTAAAAATGCAATCACTCTTATAAGAGCAAAAAATATAGACAATGCTAAAAGGACGGCATTTTTTCACTTCACCTATAATGCAATTAATCATTTTAGTTCCCATGTTATTTACTGCTGTAACAAATTATCACGCTCAATGGTTTAAAGCATCACAAATATATTATCCTATGGTTCTGTAAGTCAGGAGTCTGACAACAGTCACACTGGGTTGAAAAGGTGCCAGAGGGCTGCACTCCTTTCTGGGGGCTCTAAGGGAAAATTTATTTCCATACCCTTTCTATAGGCCACCTGCACATCTTGGCTCACAGACCCTTCCTCCTTTAAAACCTCCTTTTGACCTCCTTCAAAAGAGGTCGTCTTTTTTTTCGAGACAGTCTCAAGGCATCACCCTGGGTAGAGTGCTGTCACGTCACAGCTCACAGCAACCTCAAACTCCTGGGCTTAAGCGATTCTCTTGCCTCAGCCTCCCAAGCAGCTGGGACTACAGGTGCCGGCCACAATGCCAGCCATTTTTTGTTTGTAGTTGTCACTGTTGTTTGGCAGGCCTGGGTTGGATTCAAACTCACCAGCTCCAGTGTACGTGGCTGGCATCCTAGCCACTTGAGCTACAGGCACCAAGCCACGCCTTTCTTATATGCATCACTTTGACCTCCTTTTTTGCCTCCCTCTTCCAATTTTAAGGAACTTTGTAATTACAGTAGGTCCCTTAAATATTTAAGGATAATCTCCCCATCTCAAAGCATTTAATCAGATTTAACTTAATCATACCTGCAAACTCCTTTTGTAATATAACATGACATATTCATAGGTCCTGGGAGTTAAGACATCAGTGTCTTCAGGTGACCATTATTCTGCTTAACTACAGTTGCCCCTGTCCTGAATGAAATTAAGATACACCAACAGTAAATCCTGGGGGAAGTGGAGGAAGCAGACTAATGGGGTTTAAAGAAGAAGGTAAAACTTGGGATGAAAAATCTCTCTGTTCTACTTTGTTAGATTTTTAGTATTTTTACTTTCTTTCCACACATTATTCTGTCATGGCACTCAGGAACTACCTTTGTACAGCAGCCACAGCTCATACTATCTAATGGTGTAGGGCAATAATTCAAACTAGAGAATAAACAGCTAGAAGGACAGTACTTGAGTATACCAATAGTTTTTATTAACCTATAAAGCAAAAGAGCCAAAGGATCACTGTGTACCTGTAGTTAAAAAATCAACTCTCCTTTCTGAAAGGCCCAAATTCAAAAAAAAATCACTATATCATGATTTTTTTTTAAGTTCTACCTGCCTAACTTTTTCAATTTAGCAATATATCTTTTTTTACTCCAAGACAGAAGAGCAATGTTTGATGTACTCAAGTTATAACCAGCATCTACCAGTTCTTTGATTCGACTTTTTAAAGTACTAATGCTTGAATCCAGAACACGAGGATTTTCAATTATTTGTGAAATGTTAATTTTTTCTTCTATGAGGCAGTCTATTTTATCATTAAACTTTTTTTCTGCCAAGAAGATCATATCTAGATAGCTTAAGACAAACTTCTGTACCTCTTCTTCAGTACATCCAAGAGAAAACAGCTTCTCTTTTATATTTGTGTAGTTTCTTTTGGCATAATCAGTGGAAATGTCTAAGATTTCAGCACCTGGACCACATATCAGAACAAGTAATTCCCCACTGTTCAAGTTGAAAGTTGACTGTAAAAATTCAATGTTAGCTTTCACCCGCTTGGTGCTCTGAATTAAGATGAAAGGGTTTTTAAAAAGTGTCTTCCTGACAAAATCTGCAGGATCATTGTGACCCAATGACAAACAGACTTCCTGTAAAAATTCAACCATCTTTTTGTTCAGATTAAGACTATTGGAGAAAGTACGAGGGGCATTAGTCAACAACCGACAAAGGCATTTACGGGTCAATCCAACTGAGTAGAGGAACTTGATATTATTCTCTAAGTTTAGGTTGTTATCGGACCGAAAAAAGGATTCAGGAGAACGTTCCAGAATATTCACAATTTCAAGGTCTGATGTCATAACCCTTCTCCAGAGATCCCACCGTTTTGAAAGACTTTCAGGAGTACGAGTTATGGCTCGTGGATATCTTGATATGATGCTAGCAATCACATTTTTACTAGCTCCTTTGGACAGAAGGAACAGCTTTAAGTCCTGTTCATTTGTAACCACTCTATTAAAAACTCCAGGCTGTCTTTTTTTTGCCATGTCAATATCCACTCCCATAGTAAGTAAGTTGTTTAATAGGTCCTCATTCTTCAAAGGTTCATGGTTTGTATCATCACACTTCACACCAAAAAGCCTAACTGAAACTGGTTTGAAGATGATGTCTGCTGAAAACTGGATCCTCCAACATCTTGAACCAAAGTAACTTCTCATATACCAGAGGTTTCTTGATGCCATAATGGTCAGGTAGCCCAAACCTTGTGGAATGCTGTGTAAAACAACATGTATACTATTACACAAATGTATGTATTAAACAGCTAAATAACCATATTATAGTCACATGAGCACCACGGTCATTAATATAAAAATATAACTCTAGCTCCAGGGCTTTTGGTGCTGTGGTAACAATTCCACCACTCTCACTTCCTAGCTTACCGTTTCTGTTGACTATATGTGGGCCCAGAGCTGTTTCCATTTTTAACATGAAGAAAAGCAAGAGGGTACCACCTCTACCCCAGAATTATTTCTTTTAGCTGGTTCCTTTATTTGGCCTTATCTGCCTTGGCTACCCAAAACCCGTGGTCCCTCTCCATCTCTACTTTGTCTTCTTGATTTCCAAACCTTTGGCTTATTTCTAATAACTGACATCTTCATTTCTGCTTTCTCTTCTAACTTCCCAGATCTCTGACCCTGTCCTAACTACAGATACCAGACTTGTCTCTGGCCTCCCAGTTTTCAAATTCTAAATCTAGCCCTGAAAGATAAAAAGACCTCAGACTATCTAATTTCTATCTCAAATATCTTTTTCTACGTTCGTAGCACCCTTAAATCCATTCTATCATTACAGCCTTAATTCTCAACTTATATAGACCAGTAGTCAACAGCTCCTGATCTTGATCTCCATCTCATTCAGTTTATCCCGTCTTTCTCTTGGTTGTAACCCAAAAATTTCAAGCCGATTTTCATGATCTAGTTGGGAAATTTAATCCACAGGGTCTACCACATGTAGAAGTGTGCTAGCAGATGGCACATAAACATTAAAATGCTACTTATTCCATCTTCCTCTCTCTTATGACCATATTACACAAGACCAGTGCTGTCTGCATCTACCACACAATACTTACATTTATAACTTCCACATCTAGCAAGTCACTAAAACCTCAATAACTCAGTTTCCTGATCATTAATAAATGGGGCACAAAAAGCATAAACTTGTATATGATTATAATCATAGATCCCTACTAAAATGAACATCTCTATTTATAGGAAATATTTTATGAGGAAGGAAGAAAAAGTGTTCTTCTGTTAGTCAAACCTATAGAATGACTTGTTCCAAAACTACAATGGTCTGTCATACAACAGCGCATATTTTTTTTAAAACTGTACTTTTTCCTTTTCAGAATATACAGCTATGACAAACTTAGTGCTTAGCTTCTAATTACTTACAAAGGACTCTTACTTAGAAATGACATTTCTCTTTTCCTAATTAAGCATAAAGTAGAAAATACAGATAGATGGTTCCAACCCACCACTAACATTTTTGGGCTTAAGATATTGCTTTCAAGATCAATTTCAAAGAAAGCCTCTTTGTGTCTGTCCTTCCAATTACTCCAATTTTTAAAAGAACTTGGATTATGTCTACAGACTGAGGACATTCCTGTGGCTCATATAATCTACAGATTCTCAATAAACTTGAAAAATATTCTAAAACTATAGAATCAAATAACATTCAAACTCAAATGCAGCACACTCACAAAGTAAATATCAAACAACAAAAGCACATTTTTGACTGATTCATAAATACTCCACTGAAATTATAATTCTTCACTTCTCCATAATACCACGTACTACTTCGTAATTAAATACTGTTCCAACAATGCATGAATTTAGAAATTTTAAAATACAATCCTGCTTCAAGCTAAAGAATGAAGGCTCTACCTCACACAGCTGAACAGTCTGTTCACGCCTCCAGATGATCAAGAGTGACCTCTACTGGGCAACTGGACAAAATACTATCGAGTGGAGATCAGAGCAGTGCTTCCTAAAGAGGGGTGCAACATGAACCAATGGGATATAAGAGGAAAATAGTAAAATTCCTATTTGTATTTGTCTTAGCCTTTCAAAGTTTCCACTTTTTACATATGTCTCATAATGTATGCAAGGTAATAGTACTGTAAGACATAGATATAAGTAATCAATAAATGTGCATATATTGGAGCTGCATTTATAAACTGTTTAATTAACAGCATACACAATCAAAAGTTTGAAGACTGCTACTCTAGACAGTGCATTTTGGTGAAGTTAGTATAACAATAAACAAGGATGAACAAGTACAAAATGTTCAAAAGAAATTCCACTAATGGAAAACTAAAAATAAGTGAAAACACATGCCAAAATTCCTAATAAAAGAGTAATAAAATCTATTAAGATTTCTTCTAAAACTGTCACAGCAGATTTTATATCTTTATGTGTAACTGTCACAGTAAATTTTATATCTTTGTGTATCTCATTCTCCATACAAATATCTTCCATGTGAATTAACATGCCCCAAACCTAATTGAGCATCTTTCCCCACCTACAAACTTGCCCTCCTCTGATTAAGGATATCACTATCACTATCCTAAGAGTCCTTTATTACAAAAATCTGTTATAACAGTGAGCTTTGCTTTCTTCCTTTTCTTCAATGCTAGTGTCATCAAATCATGCAGATTCAGTTTCTTCAGTGTCTCAAAAATCCAATCCCTCAACTCTTCTGTTATTCTCACAGTTACAAGTCTTCAATCTCTCCTACCCAGCCTGTAACAGCCATCTTCCTTGCTTCTCCAACATCACTCAAAACTGCCATGACACTGATACTTGTTTACAAAAAAAAAATACAATTATGTCCTTCACTTTCTGATTAAAGACCACCTGTAGCCCTCCCCAAGAAAGCAAAATCTTCGAATTGGCCTTCAAGCCTTCAACACCTAGTTCTACTTACCTTTCCAGCTATCTCTCCTATTCTACCCCACTCCCTGACACCACTATCTCTCAAACCTTTGATCCTGAACATCCTTGTCCATTCCTGTCTCCCTACTTTTTCTTAAGCTGTTATTCTTTCACAAAGGTCCATCTTCCTGATGCCTATGCATAGTATAAGGTCCCATTCAAACACAATGTTCCCTTAACTCTTTAACTTAAAATACTGCTGAAGTGAATCTTTTGTTTAATAATTTGTTACTAAGGAATCTAAAACTAAGTATTCTATTTATATGGGGGGGAGGTAAAGTGGACTTAGAACTGGCAATGAAATTTGGTCTTGATTACAATACTAAGAAGCATTAGGTTTACCCCACAAATGATATAAGCAATTTCATCTAAACCTAAAAACAATGATAACTAATAATATTGGTTGTTAGTAAACACATGAACAAAAAAAATCTTAAATGTTGTAATTAGAAGAGGACTTAAAACCTTCTATTATAATTTTAAGTGCTTATATTCTTTAACCCAGCATTTCCACTTCTTGGAGACTATCCAGAGGAAATAAAAAGGACATGAATACATATTTGTTACGTAAAAGGATGCCCATAACACAAAAGGATGATCATATTATTTGGTATAGCAAAAAAGAACCACCTCAAAAGGCCACCAATAACAGAATGATTAATAAATTGTGGTACATCTATGTAATATAATGCTATACAGGTGCCAAAAATAAAGACAGATATAATGCAATCCAAATCCAAGATATCCTAAGTGGCAAATTGCATAATGGTATGGATAGGATAATATCATTCATATTAAAGGAGAGGCATGAATACATACAGATGGGGGGAAAACTGAATAACAGTTATCTGTGAAAGATTAATGGAGGCTATATCCTTCTGAAATACTGGTATTTTACTTAATGAAAACTGTAACAATGAAAGGGAGGTCTATCATGACTAGCTACATTTTGCTCTGATCACCTCCAAGTAATATCCTTTAGCTCTGCCTTGGTCTGCACATAGGCCAGCTAATTGGAATACCACAGGGAAAATGTAGTTTATAGTTCAACTCTAGAAGAAAGATAACTGTCCCTTTCCCAAAACTAACTCCTGAAGAGAACAGAAAAGTACATACACGAGTAACAATACTGTGTTAAAGATTAAAAGAACATCATGACCTGCCTGACCTAAAAAGTTTTACAAACTCCTAGAACCCTCTTGGTGCCCAGATATCTGTGATCTTTAGTTACCTTTTGCAAAGGTACCTTCCTTGCCTTAACATAGAAAGGAGTCTAAAATTCATACTGATTTAGAAGGTTCTTTAGGACATCAGTTCACCATCTTCTCAGTTTGCTGTCACAACAAATGAAACACACTTTTCTTTCTTCAACACCTTGTCTCTCAACATATTGACTGTTTCACGGCAAATGGTACACACCTGCACTCTGTAACAAATGTGTTATTTTTCTGTCAGACAAATTTTAAACAAATTTAATTAGCCTGAGGTGTAAAAAACAATGGAAACTCTGTAAATTACCTCTATTTTTCATATTTGAGCACAAAACAGGTCAAATTTCAAAAATATCAATGAGGTATTACTGTCTACTCTCAGCAGACAATTTCAATTCAAAATACCTCCATAACATCTAAAAAAGGTAAAATATTTAAATACCCTATGCAAGAAGTATCAATTCCCTCAACTGTAAATTTCAAAATTAATAAGTATTCCAAAACTGACTTCAATTTTTCTTTCAAATTGATGTTTTTAATTAACCAAAACCATTATCTCTAGGGCTACTGATGAAACTAATAAACATCCTGAAATTCTCTGTACATGTAATCTAAACTTCAAATGAGGAGGATTTACATTCCTCATTGTTCCACAACTAGACGGTTAAAGATGCTTTTAATGGAAATAGTTAATCACTGGCTTTAAGGTACATTCCAGCTGGTCTTTTGGAGATAATTTATCTTAAGACTTTGCATACCTCCAGAAAGGCTGGAGAACAGCTGTCTCTAGAGAAGGAACACACACACACACACACACACACACACACAGACAAAACATTGTCAGGACATCATAATAGATGATAAAAGAGACTGACCCCAGCAAACTTTGCATAGTGTTCTCCTGGGATGCATTACCTCTTACAAACTAAGCATCTCTTACGCACACTGAAAATTACACGGCAAGTACACGCCTGGAAAGGGAGCGGAATCACGAATATGTTTGGTAAAACCAAAGCTTAGTGCTTCACACACATTAGTTAACCTCCCCAAGAACTTAAATGGTATTCCTTAAATTATCCCTAAAATTACAAAATCTGCAACAGAGATTGCAGATTGCTCGTCTCAGCTAGGTGAAGCGTATGCCTCGAACCCAGGTGGGTGTTAACTAAAAACCAAGGTAATTCTACAGTGTAGGCTCCTTCCACCCCTCTTCCTCCTCCAAGGGCAACTGCTCAAGGGGCTGCGCAGTACGGCAGAGTCGCGCAGACAGTCCTCTAAAAAAGAAAAAAGAAATCACAGCAAAAACAAACTCCCAGCCGCACCCGGAACTGTACCTATACGCCGTGCGTGCCTTTTACTTCCGCAGGGTCTGGCACGTCACCGAGGGGCGGAAGTGGACAAGACTAACTTCCGGCCTCAGGACGCGCGCAGAAGCGCCGTCGCCGGCACTACGCCCCCTTGCGGTCGTCGGTCGTCCCTCTGCCCTCCGTGGCTCGGCACGAGGGGCCGGCAGGGGGCAGCAAGAGACCGCAAAGGGCGCAGGGAATCGAATGCCTGGGGCGGGGTTCGCGAGGAGCACTATGTCCTGGACTTCCCTGTTGCCAGGGCCGCTGGCCGCCGGGAATTGTAAGGCGTCCACCGTCGGCCGGCGACAAGCAGTGGGAAATTATGGGAATTTTGCAGTCCGACAGGGCGATTCCCGCTGTTAACACGATTACGCGATGCGATGAACACTTCGAGGTTTGGTGCTGGAAACGTTGTGTAAACAGTCTCTGATTCTCTTTCTTTCATAAACTGCCTTGGAAATCCTGGAGTGTGGCTGCTAGTCTGAATGCAGCATCTGCCTGCAGGCTGGCAATCAGTTCTAGTATGCTTCGACTTACCTACCTGCAGCACCAGTTCAATTCTGGTTCTTTTGAAATTGTGACTGGTTTAGGTCATTTAAATTAAAGAATGGAAGCAACCGAAATTTAATCTCCCCAGCGGACGCCACCTGTGGGCACGTCCTTAAACCGCCCCTGTCCTGTCATCCTCACCTGCCTGTGATGGTGGCAACGAGGAGCTAAAGCTTCAATTCTAGTCAATTCTACTGTGACCTCCAAAGAAAGATAACATCTAGATTAATTAATGAATCATGTATGTCAAGTTATCCTCAGAAGAAAATGATAGTTTAGTCTTTAGGAAAACAGAAAGTAGGGGAAGTGGGGTTATTAATCCTTAATTCTACAACAAGGAAAACTTTCTGTGTTACTAACTCCCCTCTGTGGGAGCCTGATGATAGAATTTTCTTTATCCCATTTGTGTACCAATGAACTGAATTGATTTACCCTAGTTCTTCCCCTCGAAACTATAATATGCCTGGCTGATTTGTTGTTGTCACTTTGTTTTGAATTAACTTTTTATTTTATTGGTTTATAACTATAAAGATGTATCTTTGGGGATTCAAATTACTAATAATTGGTCTATCTAGTAATATACCTGGAAAACTAGAAATGTCATTTTTATGTGAATTTTGGAAATCTGTAATTCTGCATGGAAGGAGCCCCTATGTCCAAGTTTGTTAGTATGTAGCAATATTTAAATTTATATACATAAATATGTAAACATATACAGATTGCTTTATTATCAGAATGTAAAACAATTAAATGTAGGAATCATTAAATTTCAGACTCTAAGAAAACCTTTAAGATTTTGGAACCCAATCCTTTCATTTTACAGATGAGACCATTGAAACCCTTAGAGTAGGATCCAGTGAGAGAACACATGTCTTCTTTAATTTATGCTACATGCTTTGTTGTACTGGCAAGGATTATCCAAGGTTATTTCAGACTCTCTTAGGCAGCATCACCTAAATTTGTTTTTAGCAATCTTGTGTAGGTAAAGGAGACTTTCTTTTGAAAATAAGTTCTATATTTTCCATGCATATTATGACATACTGAAGGAACAGCAATAGAAGTGTAATAATGGTTGGGTTGGGATGGTGTATTATCAATTAGGGTATTTTTCCCCTCATATTTCTTCAGTGATTTCTGAAATATCATTACCTCCAGTCAGAGTAATGACTACTACCTCAGTAGTATGATGCTATATAATAGAAACTGTACGTACCTTGTCTGTGTTTTGTTTATCCAATGACCATTTATTGAGCATCTGTACATCCCAGGCCCTGTTTTCAGGTTTCGGTATATAGTAGAAACCAAGACAGAACCCCTGCTCTCCTAGACCAGGTTTCCAGTGGGAATTCTTACTCTCAGCTCCAGAGTCTGCTCCTCCACATCCTTCCTACGTCTTCCTTCCACAACCCCATGGCTGTCCCAAGTCCCTATTAAGTTATGTAATCAAGAAAAAAAGAAAGTAGTGTTAAAACATTAGAAGGTTTAGGGACAGGGGTATCATTGGCGACCACCAAAGACAGGGTGTAAAAGATGAAGGAACAAAAAGGGAAAAGGCACGAGATGAAGTAGTGATGACTTGGTGAGGGAAGTTTTTCCTAGAGAATGTTCTAAAGTCTTCATCTTTCTGGGTGTTCTAATGACAGCTAACTTGGTTTAGGTTTTATGTCCAATTTTTATTGTCATATATCTCCTTCACAAGTCTCTTTTTCTGAAATGATGGTGGTATTAGACAGTATTTGTGTTTTTAAATAAGCTTACATGGGAAAAGGAAAAGTTGCCAATTCTGTAGTGGAACATTTCCTGCCCTCTTTTTTTAAAAAATACAAAACTTTGTTACAGAGGAAAAAGAGGAAAAGCATAGACTTTAAAGCCCTCCCTTCCCAAATTGGACTTAGATGTCTCAGGTGCTGGACAGAAAGTCAATTCCAAATACAGAATCCGCCCTATTCAGAAGCACCTGCCCTAAACGTGACTTCCTCTGCATGGAAGTGTCCTTCATTCTTCATGGAAATACACTTCTGGCAAACCGCAGCCCCTCTCAGTTAAATATTCATGTTTCAGTCTCCAGCAGACCTAATTACGGTCAAAAAGGAAGTGGCCTTTCCTTTCATTCCCTCCTCCTGTACCCCCAGCTGATACAAAAGTCACAGACTCTTGAATTCAGTAGAGAAAAGTGTCCCCCACATCAACTTGATAGACCTGCCAGCTTCCTACAAGTCTTACTGACTCTGTGAGGAACATCAGGTCTCTCCCTGGGACTCTCTTATTCCATTCTCTATTTCACAGCTGTTTTGTTTGCTTATGAAAAGTCTACAAGTTCAAGGCCGATCACAGCAACAGATAAAGTTACCCAGAGATTCTCAGGTTAATACTCTATTTCTTGGCAACAACAAAAAAACCAAGGTTAATTTTCTCTTCCATAGTAATAGCTTTTTAACAACTTTAGATTTGTAAATATTTTTCTTCTGGCAACCTAACTTTCTCTGAAATGTGTCTAACCAAGGTCTAGAAGGAGGACTTCCTGAGTCAGCCTTCCTGTTCCCACACACATTACCCCAAGAGTCTGTGGCAAAGAACTGTATGCTTATCCTGGCACATATGCTGACTCCAGACCCGATATGAGCCTTATTCCCATGGCGGTTGGATTGGCAACATCAGCAGGACGGAGTTGGCCAAGAGAAATATGATAATCATTTGCCTCAAGAGTTTAAGTATCTCTTGGATTACTTGATATTACTGCACCATGACTTCCATCAGTTAATTGCTGTGAGGTCATCTGTAATCATTGGTAGAAAAATTTACCTCAACAAAGAGCAAGGGAGTAAATATTAACAAGATTAAATAGTATCTTCCTTGTCTAAAACTATTTCTCTTCCTATTTACAATATTTCTTTAAATTCCATCTTTAGAAATTTATTCCTAGATATTTATACCACTGTGATTTTAAACTGCAAATTTATTTGAAAGAGGAAACATACATTAAGCCAAGAGTCAGCAGCCATTTTCTATAAAGGGCCAGTTAGTGTTTCAGCTTTGTGGGCCACATACTGTCTCTGTTGCATATTCTTTTTTTTTTCCTTTCTTTCCTTACAACCCCTTACAAATGTAAAAACTGTTCTTAGCTCAAGGGCTGTCTATACCTGTATTAAACTATAATGAGTTACTTACATATAACTGTAACTTAGTTTGTTGACTATACCAAAGGCATCCAAAGAATAGGAATTTTAAGTCAAAGGACAAAGAAGAAAAAAAAATTATATTTGAAAACACTCATAGAGGCTCGGCGCCTGTGGCTCAAGCGGCTAAGGCGCCAGCCACATACACCTAAGGTGACGGGTTCGAATCCCCAGCCCCGGCCGCCAAGCAACAATGATGGCTGCAATAAAAAAAAAAAAAAAAAAATGGCCGGCGCTGTGGCGGGCGCCTGTAGTCCCAGCTACTTGGGAGGCTGAGGCAGGAGACTCGCTTGAGCCCAGGAGTTGGAGGTTGCTGTGAGCGTGATGCCATGGCACTCTACCCAGGGGGATAGCTTGAGGCTCCGTCTCAAAAAAAAAAAAAAAAGAAAGAAAGAAAACACTCATAGAACAGTCTCTGCACTGCTCTAAGCACTTTATAGCTAGATACAGGGGTCCTCAAACTTTTTAAACAGGGGGCCAGTTCACTGTTCCTCAGACCATTGGAGGGCCACCGGACTGCAGCGCTGGGATGAGTCGGCTGCTAAGCAGGACAGGCAGCGGCGGCAAAAACACCCGGAAGGCCGGATAAATGTCCTTGGTGGGCTGCATGTGGCCCGTGGGCCGTAGTTTGAGGACGCCTTATAGAATCTCTCTCTCTCTCTCCCCCCTTGGTCTCACAGATTTGAAGAATGAACTCACGAACCACACAAGTAAGTGAAAGGACAAATTTTATTCGTAGATAAGTAAAAGAGGAAAATAGGACCTCTGGCAATGGAGGGGAGACCTGAGTGGGTAGCTATTTCAGTCTTCTGTGTAGGGGATTATGTACTGCTTTTCCTATCCTGTGGGCAGGGGGACCTTGGGGAGATGGAATATCACAACCATTTGGCACCAGGGGCTTGGGAGCAGAAGTTAATTTTAAAACTGTTCTTGTGCAGGAATGTGGTCCCACTTGGATGCATTCTCTGCTCCGGGAGGGGCAGCCTCTTGTTTAGGGTGTGCTCCCTGCTCCAGGAGGGGCAGCCCAGATGAGATACTGGTCGGGCTGGCTTATATGAGATGGGGTCTGCAATGATGAGACTGATCTCTGAGCTCACCCAGGCCTAAAAAATGGGATCTCCATGTCCACCTCTGAGTGAGGGAACCCTGTATCAACTTCACCTAGTTAACTCATTTTGTTACATAATGGAAGTAATATTATGTCCATTTTACAGGTGAGGAGACTGAGTGACAGGCTTACTACCTGAGC